TAGCTAGTTACAGAAAATAATTTTGTCGAATCACAAATAATTATAAAAATATGATGAGCAATGCAGTAAAAAATTTTTTGATACTTTAGGAACCAGCATATATCCTACATAATTATTTTGATAGTTCAACAAATTTATATTTCTAAATTTGTATTCAGTTAAATTTTTAGATGCTTGAGCAATATCATTCTTTTTGTGTGCATAATGAAAACCAATATATATATATATATATATGTGTATATAATATGTCTGTATATATAAGTATTCAGATTCGAGTCTCGATGATACCATGATACAATTATCAAACTTCTCGTCTGTCTGAAGAAAAGAAAAACAAAATTGATTAATTAATTACTTCATCTTCGAGACATCGTACGTATAGTAGCGAGATTTTCATTAATCACCAGAACATACCGCGTCAATGATCTGACATATTTACCAAGTATATACGGATGCTATTATACGTGACAAGACGGGTAAATAAACAGTTACAGGATAAAATATCGCCGCTGTCTGCGAAATTCTGATAACGGAAAACAAAGAAATAATATCATGTTAACTATTTGACATAACAATCAAGTTTTCTGTTTCGAATTATTAGCATGTATAAAATTCATGTACAATATAAATATCAAAAATTTTAACTTATTTTAATTTTATTAACGTATAACTTCTATAACGAATATATATATCAGATATGACATATGATTCACATTCGTGAGAATTTATTATTAATAATAAGTTAAAATAAATTATATATTTATTTATATAATCACTGTTCTATACATAGGTATATTTTTTCTTTTAGTTACAAAATTTTTGCTATATTATTTGAGAACTATATTATTATATTAAAACAATTTCCTCGATACAAATGAGATTATATCTTTTTATAGTATAATTACAAAAAATATATTTTGAGTTAATGTCTTCTTTTTAAAAGTGTACTATTTTTGCAATCAATTTGTTTTTCTTAATAAAAAATTATCTAGCGAAATTATAATTTTTCATGTAATTTCTATCTATTTATATCTCATATTTGATCATTAAAAAAAAATTCGACTCCGCAGTCGGTAGGACTCGAACCTACGCTCCCAGAGGGAATCTGATTTCTAGTCAGACGCCTTAACCACTCGGCCACGACTGCTGTTCTGGTTATCTACTCTCTTTAACAAGAAAACATTTAAATGGATATGAAATTATGACTAAAATAATTTTAATTTTTTTCTTAATTTTAAAACACAAATTATAAATAATAAAACATTTTGGAGCGAAAATAAATGTATGATAAAAAATAGATTAAAATGATATAATAATACAAATTATATGTATAAAAATATACATGTAAACTCGTGAAGTGAAAAAATAATCGAATAATTCTTTATTTATAATATTTGATTTCATGAAATGTCCTATAAATATGTACGCATTAAAAGTAACACATAAGCCACAATTTGATTGATCGAAGTCAGAGATAATGATGACATTGGTATAGGTCCGAGTCTACGGTACGATGAGTCGGTAATCTTAGAAGTTGCATTGGCTACTAGCCAACTCTACCGATTTACCGATTTCGACCAATCCCGACTCACCGATTACAGACTACCGACTCATTGTAGATGTGGCTTAAAAAGAGCGAAACACTTACTCGAAAGAAGCGATGTTGTTTCGCCGAATGTTCCTCGTGAAAGCGACATTTCACGAAATCAGACGTGCTACGTGTTATATGTATATACTAGATTCTAGTAACTCTAGTACTAGAGAAACGAAAGAGCATACAATTTGAGCTGTGTACTTTTCTACTAGAAAAGGTCGATAAAGAAGATCACGCGATTGAACGTAATCATATGTATACAAGCAATAACTCGGAAACATATCTTTTATAGCGTTGAATCTGCCTGCCGCTTGACGTACATACATACATACATGTATACATGTATATATGCTGACATCATCTCTAATTTTTTCTCTATTTTAAATATAGTACTGTTATGTAAGGGATAAAATCAGCTTCTAAAGAATAACTTAATAAAAAAATCCA